TAAAACAAGCTTTAAGTTAATCTGAAGGAATTCCTCAAGCCTTCTTCTTTACTGTATTTATCGAACAATTCAAATAATAACACCCAAACAATTCTTAAGCTTCAAACAATTCCTCCAGTCAAATATTATGAAGTACCTATCAATATAACTCTTCCTCTTCAATTTTTTTTTTTCACAGCAACCTCCAACCGCCCTTTTCTCTTTAAACAACTAGATACAGCAGAGAATAGTAAACTTTAACCCTTCCTTGCTCATAGATCACGATAAGAAGAAAAAGAACAAACCCAACTTACTCCATCCAAGCTATCATAAATCGTAGGAGGATGAAGGATCTTGAACTTACCACAGAGAGAGTAGATCAAAAATATGGGGGGGGGGGGGGGGGGGAGGCAGAGATCGTAATATTCACATAGGAGAAAGAAAAGGACAAACATTCCTCTTCCTTAGATTGCAATACTGAACACACAAGAAGAAAAGACAGAACGAAGAACCCACGGCGGCGAGAACGACGTTGATGGAGAAGTTGATGGTGGAGAAGAAAGATGGCTAGGGATTTGGGTTCCAAACTCCTCACCCACTTTGATTCTCTCTCACATCGTCCTGATGGATCGAAGGACAAAAAAAATCTGAAGCTGATCTCTTTTTTTAAGGGCAATATAGTGACTTCTTTGCATAAAAGGAAGGAAAAAAAATCCTCATTTTGCATAGTTGGAGCTCAAAATTGGTACCTCTGGTAACGTTAGCAGCCGCTAACGACACTTGACTCTGATTTCTTTTCTATTACAAGCTACAATAAATAATACAAGAGTTAATTAATTAGTAATATGGGTCATTACAGATTGATGCATACTTTTAGCAGAATGGATTTGAAAAAAGTGATAATGAGCCTACTCTCTACACAAAGAAGCGAGGTACTGATTTTATGATTGTGTGCCTATATCTAGATGATATAATTTATATGGGCTCAAATATGTCCTTATTAGAAGAATTCAAATGTTGCATGATGAACAATTTTGTGATGATAGATTTAGGCTTGTTACATTATTTTTTGGGCTTAGAAATTATGCAAGACAAACTTGAAATTTTTGTTTACCAAAACAAATATGCAAGAGAGTTGTTGAGAAGGTTCAACATGCTTAATTACACTGCAAAACTACTCCAATAAATCTGAAACAAAAGTTTAGTTGGCAGTTTAATGTATCTAACAAGGCCGAATATATCTTTTTCAATATATACTTTGTCTAAGAGCATCACAAATCTCTTTTGGAGGCGATAAGGATGAATAAAGATCATAAACCTATGGGACAATGTGTTTATAATATGAGCATGACACAAATTTCATCCTCCAGTCTCTTCTTGCACCAATAGGCAATGTGTTCATAATGTACATGAACTTGAGACTGCGAGCGCTTCATCCTCTAATCTTTTCTTGGGCTTAGCTTGGATAACATCACCATCATTGGATTTTGCAGTAGGAAGAGGCTTCAGATTGGTATCAAATAAGTACAAAATTTTCATCCTTGTCAACAAAAATATCAACTTTGCCTTCCATAACAACCATATCCGACCCATTGGAGTAATCCTATTCGATGAAGTCTTAATTCATGATGTTAAAGCAGATTTCACATCTTGCTTGATTTCCAAATTACTACATTTAGTGGGGATCGGAACCTACCAAGTGCCAAGTGCTTTTCAAGCGTATCCATAACCCACCTACCTGGTATTTTATTCCACTTTCTTTTTTCCCTCTAAATCCATTTTCTTATCTGAAGCGTGTTGATGGTTTTTAAATCTTTTTGAAACTTTGTTCCTACCTAACGAGCTAAGGTAATTGGGCATCTCGCCCATCACGCTTAATTTCCAAATTAATAGTGTATACAATATAATCTCTTCTCAACTGTTCATCAGTTCTAGTCCTACTCCTTATTCTCTCTCTCTCTCTCTTTCTCTCTCTAATTCCAAAACCTGCAAATATAGTTGTAATTTTTGTGGACTTTGTAGCCAGAGATTTGGCTTCACCAATAATCCGAACTCAAGCAGTTTCATAGGGTCATGTTCATACTCTGTTTTCTGGAATCGAGAATATTTCTAATTTTATAATGTTTATTTCGTGTTTTATTTGACACTCAAGCCCATAATCCGAACTCAAGTCACTGTCAATGAAGCTTGTGTCTTCCACAATCTCATCTACCATGACGTTGGGGTTGATAGAGGTGAGCGATGGCAGAGAGCTCAGCGGCAAACATGAATTTGGCGCAAAGACTTTGTTCATGCCTAGAATAGCTCTCTCCTTTTTCCTGCTTCATATCTCCTCATTTGCACAGAAGGAGAAATGGGTTAGAGAGGTAGATCGGAATCAGGGTGATCACCAATGGATTAGCAAGGAGCATGCATTAAGAGCGAGAGTATCTGTAATGCAGGCAAGAGATTAGGGAGGGGGGGAGAAAGGTGGGGTGGGTTTGAGTATATTAGCTTGCGCTTTCTTTTCCAACTCATCTTGTGGTCTTTGCATATATTGGTCAAAAAAGAACATCTAATAATCAAATAAATGACGACAAGCACTTTCCAAGTCCTGTTTGACATACAAATTAAGAAAAAATCAAACAGAAAATGGGAGCAGCTTTTAGTTAGCTAGATCCCAAGGAATGCCCTGTTATAGCAATCCGACATACTTTTAAACATGATTGGCAATTTCGAATCAGACATACTTTTAAAGAAGGAAACTTTTGTTGACAAGCTAGCTGATTGGAATTTACGTTAAGCTGAGGACCATAATTTTTTAACTAATTTGCCTCCTAAAATTTTGCTTTTGAATTCTTGTAAAGGAAAAATCGTAGTTGTAGTGAACGTCTAAATCTACAAATTAATAAGAAGGTTTTACAATTTACCACTTGTGTAATGTAAATGCGAGACAATTTACCATTCATATAACGCAACCTTATAATTAAAAAATATTACCTCCAATTTTTAATATAAAAGTTCATTTGATTTTTATTTAGTTATAAATATAAAACCCCATTCTACTTGTCTCTTATATTTATTTATTTATTTTCAAGATGGTTCTTGTAATAATAGCAGTTCTAACCAATAACAAGGATCTTTTAGAAAAGACAATATATATTTATTATAAATAACTAATTTAACTAGTTTTCTTAATCTATTCAAATTAGTCAAATAGATCTTATATTAAGAACTAAAAGTAGTATTATTTAACACTATTTTCACTCAAACAATACAAATTTCTCTTTCGTTGTTTATGATATTTTTTTTTGGCCGTCAAATATGAGTTCTGAAATAAGTATTTGCCCACCAAATACAGACAAATAAAAGTATTTACCGACCAAGTGTATAATAGTAAAATATGAACATTTAAAACAAATAATTTAGTTTACTTTATTATGTTTGATATAATTATCATTTAGAAATTAATGTTTATAGTTCAATAATTAAAGTAATTTTATGTTTACTTATATTAACTGAAGCTTTTTATTTTAATTTATTCTAATAGTTATATTAGATTCAATTATATTCGTTAAATCATTCGCTTAACAATTAATGTAAATAAAAGATATATTATTTTCCGTTAAGATCCATATAAGACACACTTCATAGTACAAATTTTCACAACAAAATAGATTTTAGATTAAAAACAGGAAGTAATATCACATAAGAGTAGCAAGTGGCATAGTGTGTATCTCATTAGTTGAGATGAATTTTTGCTTTAAAGAAAAATTCTTACCGTGGGAAACAAAGGATATATGAAAAGTTCTTAGATCTTGAAGTGTTCCAGTATTTATATTTTATATTTGCTACATATAATCTTAGGGAAATAAGTTAATAACGTATCTTTTCAACCTATATCATTTCCTTGGAGCCACTTTTACGGTATACCATAATTCCTCACACTATTTGCCAAGAAATTCAGCTAGCAAAGTAGCAGCAAGCAAGAAAGAAAAAATTATGAACATTTCACAAATATGCACTGACATGCAATGTTGTACTATTGTATGTTAAAATTTGAAAAACTCAATTATTCAATCTTTTGCAAAAAAAACTCATGTAGTTTTGACTTAATTAAAACTCAGATATTGATCTTCGATTCTTTAAAATTTAATCCCTATAGTTTTGACTTAATTAAAATTCCTACATTTAAAAAAATAAAATTACACATTTGATGAAACTTTAAAGTTTTCGGTGGGTAAAATTATAGCAACTTAATTGCAAGGGACTAATGTTTAGGAACTAAATTTCAATTGAGTTGTTAATCAAAAAAAATTTCCACTAAGTTTTAACCATAGAAATCAAGTAGTACCGAGTCAAAATTGAAGAACCGAGTTATGATATAACTAAAACTATGCAGATCAAATGATTAATTTTTCCCAACAATTTCATGGGCAAACGGGCAAAGTTATACTCGTATGAAACCAACCCAAATCCTCAATAGCGACAAAACGAATGTAGAGATTGTGTATTAAAAAAAAATAGAGAGAAATCCAGCAAAAAAAAAAAAAAAAAGGTTAAGGTCCTTAAATAACTTGAAAGCATCCACGACAGAGTACTCAGGATTTGGATTTTTCTTTTTCTTTTTTGGCTCTAATATATCCAGAAAATTTTATTTCATAGCATTTTTGGTTTGAACCATACCTACTATTAAATTTAACTGTTAGAGCCATATGTCAAATCACATAATTTAATACTCTTCCGGTCCTTAATATAAGACCCATTTAACTAATTTGATTAGATTAAGTAAGTTAGGTAAATTAGTTAATTATAAGAAAATTGACTCATTTTTAAAACACTATAATCATCTTTCTTAATACCCCTCTCTCTTTTACTTAATTATGGTTGAGGGAATATCTATAGGGGTAATTTAGAGAAAATTGATAAATATGATAAATGGGTCTTATATTTATGACCAAAACCAACTCAAGAATTGGGTCCTATATTAAGGACCGGAGGAGTAGTATATTTGCTGTGAAAATAAATTTTCAGGATTTAAAGCCTTAAAAAACTTTCAGCTGCAAAGTGCTCCTTCGTAGACACTTCCAGGATATTTAAACACCTTAAAAAAATAATAGTAATAATAAAGAGAGAAAAAAGGCTAAATAGCACGTCCGTACGTAATTATGAGATATAGGTCCCATATACAACATTCAGAGAATGGAGACAATCAATAGTTGTGGGAACTGGTAGTTAGCGTATTATATACGTGGATATCAGTCCTTTTTGTTCTGTGTTTGATAAGAACCCGTACGTATAGCTATTAGATGGAAGCAAGGCTGCCTCCTTTCAGTACTTTCTGAACACACAGAAGCTGAAAAACGTAGCTCTCAAATGTTACCTGTCCAGAAAAGTCATTTTGTTCCTTCTTGTTCTTTCTAGCTACCATGCTTCTTTCTTGAGGCTGCCAATTTTTCATGACTGTAAAGAGAAAGAATAGTAGCATGTATATATCTAATTATCTATCCAGAGAATAAGAAATGTCAACCAAGTTCTTTTCGCAAAATTCGTAGAATAGCATACCTTCATTTGCAATGTTACATTTAAGAGGAGTTTCAGCAGCACAGTTGTTCCTGCCGAAAATGACAGTTCCTTAGTACACATTTCATGTGAGGAAAAGAAATGTGAATTGAGACCAAACATACTTGGTATCATCTACTTTTGTTTCATTTTTGTCTGGTTTCTTCATCGACATCGATGATATCTCCTCCACATGGCCAAGTGACTTTGTTGTCTCAAGACTCTCTGTTATCAATAGGTTTGGGTCCCTCTCAACTCCAGAACCCTGAGTATGGTTATTGGAAGTTGAACTATCTCCTACTGTTTTCTTTTCCGAGGAACATTTATTCTTCCCCATGAAAGTTTCTTCTATAATTTCAGACTTTCCTTGGCAATCTTGTTGCATTTCCAGCTTCACATCCTCATCTCTGCCGGCAGCATCTTCTTGTAAATCAGGAGATGGAGTCTCACAATGGAAGCTAGAAACAGTTTTTAGATTGCCTTTTAGTTGAAATTTCGATGGGGTCTCACAATTGAAGCTAGAAACAGTTTTTAGATTGCCTTTTAGTTGAAATTTCGGACAAAACTTGGGGCCTGTTGACCATGATCGAACATCTGAGAATACATGTGATTCGCCAAATGCAAACTTTTCAGAGGTAAAACAGCAAGGAGGAGAATTGACAGGACGCACACCGCTCTTTAATCCACTAGAGGAAGGACTGGCCTTGTCATGTGATTCAGGAATTGTAAAAATGCCAAAAGGATCTTCATCGCCATTATAAGAACCAGGAGCTGCAAACTTTGCCTCTAAATTTTGACCGAATGTAGAGTCACCGGAATTTACATTATCTGGAGGATATCTTTCCCCAAACTGCCAACTGCTACGAGCACATATGTCTTCCTCAATAATAGAATTTGAATGGGATGGCTTTTGCTTTGATGAGTTTGGCATGCTTCTGCATTTTCCTTCATTGGATCTGCGCTTATTTCCAGGGCTGCCAAAATCATACATGTGTTCTTCACTAGTCCCCCCAGCTGATAATCTTGATGGTGAATGAGGGATTGCCTCACCTCTCACTGACATAAAAAGACAAGCATCCAACAAACAAATAATCCTTGCCTTTTTGTTTCATGCATAAAATGTAAATATCCTAAAACTATATGTCTAACCATTTTGCAAGAAAGACGATTATTATATTACCTGCAGTGGATGAGCATGATTCTTCGCTGATAAGGTTCACAAATCTTAGTCAAATGACTGGTTATAAGGAAAAGGGTAAAGTCAACTTCAAAGAAGAGATCTTTTTTATGTTACCTAAGCAAGCTTGAATTGTCCCTTACATCTTCCGGGACTAAGCTTTGTACATGGAAGTTCCCACCAGATCTTGAACATCTGCTACAATACAATACATCATCAGAAAGCATATTCAAAACTCACCACAAACCTAAGAGAAGGTTCTCGTACCTTGCCCCAGTAGCGACAAAAAAGTCATAATCATTTTCTGGAGGGCATTTTGAATATGTAGCAGGCAACTCTGAAAAAAAAAAAATAAGGAAGGAAATAAGCAAAGAATATCAAATGCCACCATGAAGTCAGGCTTTCATTGTTCATTAGTAAATTCAAATCACAATAGCAAACAGTAATATTCCTCTTGTGAAATGAATATCAGAATTGTAACAATCCACTTCCCATGCACTTTTCGACAGAAAAATCATCAAAAGTAGAAGATTCTATCCTGAAATAAAAATGTCAGGAAAGAAAATAAATGAAGGGAGAATAAAACCAAGGATTGTCCCAGAAAAGGGAATAAAAGAAAAAAAGGAACATGAACTCAAATCTCTTCCTATGAGAAATCAATATTGAAATTACAATTCTGACCTCCTAAAACATGTTAAAAGTTGTAAGCATGAAAGGTAAGAGAGAGAAATCAGGGATATTCATGCATATTGAAATCATGGGTATTCATGCATATTAAAGTGACATGAATATCCTGTTTTCTCTGTCTTACCCGTTATATTTTAATCTTCTAACATGTTTTAAGGGGTCAAAAATAATTTCTACTATGATTCAAATGTTTCATCAAATTCACGTCAATTCATGCAAAATATTTTAGGTATGCGAATATTACAGAATCTCACAGTTGAGCACATAGAAATTTGTTTCAAAAAAAAATTTAAATACACTGAATAATGATTAAATGAGAAACTCAGAAAATACCTATTGTATCAAATCCATCAAACGCTGCTGCCAAAGACCTGTACATACTTTAAGTCATCAAAATCGTTTAAGGAAGCTGGAAACAGTGAAGGCTCTTTTTTGGCCATATACAGCAAAAGCTCTTGAAAATACAGCAAGTAACCTTTTCTTTGGCAGGTAATCTTCAAATGCATATCGTGCCTTGCAGACCCCGCTTTTTAATGAACCAGGAGAACTATTACCCCTTTGAAATGTCTTTTTCTTCCATAAGGTATCGTATTCCCTCTCATTCTCAAACTTCTCATCAAAGAAGCTAGAACTAGGTGCTTTAACAACTGGGATTAAATATTTTTTAGAGATTATAACAAAGAAAATGACCACGCAATATTTTCAAAAGAGCTAAATATGAGACCCTCGGCCTTGGCCACATCAAGTTTTTCATTAGTTTAGGCATGGTGAGAAATTAGTCAAAAATAGATGACCCGGTTAAGTTTCCAATGAATCACAAAAATGTCAAATCTGTTTGAATCTGTATGAGGGGAGTTATTAGAGATATTTTATCTTTATTTTAAGATGATTAAGCGTTTTATTTAAAATTAATATTTATAATGATATCCATATTATTTTTAAGATTTAATTAGGGTTTATCTAATCTTATCTCTAAGGATTTATGTTATCCTATCTTATCTCGGATTAATTTAGATTATTATCATTTTAAATAAGTGAACTCATGGATCTATAAATAATCCTCGGGTTTCCACATTTGTCAGACCTTTTCAACAAATTGAATAATACCGAGTATTTTCCTGTCACTCTCTCCCCCAGTTTCTTTTTCTTCCTCCTTTCTATCTATTTCTTCCCTTTCTCTCTTTATCTGTATATTTCTCCATCCTCCTCCTCTCCTTTCCTTCAAACTAACATAACATATGCATCAGGCTTTATATCAATAAAACATAATACTCAACCACCATAAACACTAACTTTTTACTAAAATTTTTCTTTCTATTTCGTATACACCTGAAATGAAACTGAAATTTAACTTGGTCACTAGTACCAGTAGTATGACCGCCGTTAGTTTCTTAAAATTCAAAGACTTGTGAATTTGTTGAAATTCATATGGGAGACCGATGCAATCCTTTCAAAAATTGTTATTTTAACTAATTTGTACATACATTAGATTTCTAAATTAGAATACTTATGATAGGCATACTGTACTTGATGAATACTGGAAATATACTATCAGAATTCCGAAATGTGACAATCCATGCATTATGTTGCGAACTCTTATAGAAGCAAAGAACTTAAGCAAGACAATGGCATTATCTATTTCACTCCGCTATTTGTTATCATGTTTTGTATTAGAAAAAATAACATTTTGCGTGTTGGGCATATGAACTAAACTTCCATACTTAGTTTTAAAACTACACATTTTTGAATAATTCAGTTTAAAAGGTACAGTATGATCCAATCTTTCAGCAATAGTCAACACTGCGGCAAGGTCTAGAGTACCATTACCATTCCATATGTCATCATCTTTAATCTCACTGTTATAGAAGAATCCTTGGCTGATGGAAACACCATTTTTGTTAGCTTGGTCATTAAAATGGTTATAGTCCTGAGAAGTAACTAAGCTCCGCTTTCCCTTTTTATAAGGAAGGTTTGAAAAATTGCTGATAGGGGCAGCATTGATATCTTGCATCATTGTATCCTACAAATCATGCATCAAACTGAATATTTCAAATCACATTCCCAAGAACTAAACATTAAGTTTAACACATGATTTCTGAGAGCGTTGGACAAAGTTATTTAATGCAAGAAAGTCAAAATGAATAAAAAAAGATGAAACATAATGCCAAATATCAGCAAAGGGACTATTTATAGTAGTGGCAGGGAGTACAAAAAGGAATCCTACAGATCCAAAGATCCATCAGACCAACATAGCCAGCCATTTTTTCAAAGTCTAAGTTGGCTTTCTAGGATTAAATAGGATTTATTATTATTCATTGTATCCCTATAATTTTGGCCCATATTAATTGGCCATCAATGTATTTATCTCCCCGATTTCATTCACTAAGAAGCATAAAGAATTATTCTCACTCCCTTCTACACCCTTATAAGCATTTAAAAATGTAGAGGGGAGATCCCTGCTTTCAGGGGACAGTTAATTGCTTGTTCATGAGTAGTAGAGGAACAGAGCAGCAGGGAAGTTGAGTTATTGTGCAAATTATCTTACATCAGCAGCAGGTAGTGGAAAATGGGTTCAACAATATATTATATCCAACAACACACCAATATCCTAAACAGTGGTTCCCGAAACCAACAACTGTCAACAGCACAGTTTGACTCTCAGAAATGGAACAGGTTCTAAACTACTTCAAATATAACAATTAAAAAATGTTAAAAGAAGATAAGTTACAAATTCTTCACATACCCAATAAATATAAGAGATTTATACAAGTTCTTGTAGGGAACTCGCAATGTGACTACTTATAGTACTGTTAGATGCATACTGGTTTAGTGCATTTAAGAAAAGAGATGATTTTCATTGTAGTCCTTACCACTTCAAGCTCAAGTTCTTCCAGTTCATGGTTAATGGCCTTTGACCACTTCTTTTTCCTTTCATCCCTCAGCATTTGGGAGTAACTATAAGAGATTCTGGTAACCAAAATTCCCAAATATGGTCAGATAAGTGAATGTCATGCACGCTACTGACCATCTTCAATAGTAACCAAGAGGTAGATAAGGATAAGATGTTTAATCATGCCACTATAGAAACGATCAGCCTCAAAGAATATCAATTTTAGAACCAAAAACCATGTTATGCTGCCTGACTGCTGCAACTAAAATTGAAGTCACAGGATTTTGCTAGTACATGACTACAAAGAGACAAAGTGCTTTGCTTTAAAAAGAAAAAAAGAAAGATATTTCATCATGGTTAGAAAGGGAAATTATTTTTCTCAAAGCATTTTCAAACAGTATGAGCATGGCAACAAGGAAAATTACAGTACAGTGCCTAGAAACAAGAAACTTGATGCAGCAACTTGTACGAGGAAAATATCTTTAAAAAGAAAAAAGAAAAGAAAAAAAAGTCTTAACCAATTCCATCCTTTGACTCACCCTGCGCTGGAACTTACTGGAAAATTTCATCACAAGAATTCAACACGAGTGGAAACTACAAAGAAAATTCACTACCAAGAATGTCAATGTGTCATACACTGACATTCTCACGCCTAGACATGTGTCTAACATCCATACATGAATTATTTGATAAGATGGTTTAACATAATATATATATATATATATGTGTGTGTGTGTATAACCCAAGTGGAAGCCATTTGGCTTATGAACAGTAATTGGCTTATGTTGGATTCCATGAATATCATGGAAAATAATGCCAGTTTCAAAAGTTATTCTCCCTCAATTTTTTCCCCAAATTTTATGTGACAGGCTAGAAACCCCATGTTGATGTAATAATAAGAGTTCTTTCCTAACTTACTTCACTGTAATTTAAATTATTTGATTGGTCCTGACAAATATTTGAGCAAGAATAAAGAGCCCACCCTTAAAAATTGGCTTGTAATTATGAGGACTCATGTCATTGAAGTAGTTGAAGAACAATTAGTGGCTATCTAATATGAGACTCTAATTGACATCCTTGATGGCTACAAATTTGCAGTAATAACATCACCAACTGGGTCACAACCTTTGCAGGTAGCTCTTTGGAGGTTGGTCTTAACTCTAATACCAATTGGTATGAAACTCTATAACCCTTGACTTATAGTTTATCTAAACACAAGCATTATTACAAACCAAAACTTTCATCAAAGTGAGTAATATCTTTGTAAGTTAAATCTAATTTCCACTTTTTTATAACAGTGAGTCGTTTGACATGAAATTCAAGCACCTAGAACTTATTATGAATTCTTGCATTATGATAAATCAAACTAGCAGCAGCAGCAGCAGCAGCAGTAATTTATGCCGAAAGCAGAAGAAATGAAGAACCAATGAGTAACAATAGTGACCTGTTTCGTTGTTGTGGTGAATGAGGTGGTGTTTCTGCTCCAACTTCACCCAAACCTGAAAGCCATCAGTTAATATTGAATGAAAATGATATGATATTGTAATAAACAAATAACAGAATCAAGAGTGAGTTAGAATAATAGGCAGTTACTAGTCGTTGGACTTTGCCTATAAAAACAGGCTTATCTCTCATTTGTAAATGTGCTGTATTGTGATCAACCTACAGGATTGAATCTCTTTTTTCTGCTACTCTCTTTCTCTTCCGTCTATTACCTTCTATCTCTCTCCCCCTTCTCTCTTGTTTCGCCTATTCTCTTTGTTTCTGTTCCCTTTCTGTTCTTTCTCTCTCTTGTTCTTTTCCAATAACATAACAGAAAACTTGTCAAAGTAACAAACAATAGAAAAAACATTTGATAACCATTAAAATAAACAACAACAACAACAACAAAGCCTTATCCCACTAGGTGGGGTCGGCTAGATGGATCGCATGACGCCATTAAGTCCTATCCAAAACCAAATCTTTAGATAGATTGTTAATTGAAAGATCTCTCTCAATGACTTCATTAAGCGTTGTTTTCGGCCTTCCTCTACTCCTTTTTAGAAGACTCCATACGACTTGCTCAACTCTTCTTACCAACACGTCCCAAGACCTTCTTTGCACGTGACCAAACCATCTCAATCGGTTTTCTACCATTTTCTCATCAATAGCAGCCACTCCAACTTTTCCTCTTATATGTTCATTACGGATCTTGTCTTTTCTTGTATGACCACACATCCATCTCAACATTCTCATCTCAGCAATAGCCACTTTATGTTCATGTTGTCCCTTTAAAGCCCAACACTCACTGTCATATAGCATTGCCGGTCTTATAGCAGTGCTATAAAACTTTCCTTTGACCTTATTTGGTACTTTTCGATCACAGATAACTCCTGTCGCTTTTCTCCATTTAAACCACCCAGCTTGAATTCTATGATTAACATCTCCATCAATTTCCCCATCTTTTTGTATAATTGATCCCAAATATTTAAACTTTTCCACTTGTTGAATGACTTGGTCTCTCAATCTGACATCCGACTCTGTACTAACTTGTCTCTTATCAAAACTGCAATGCATATATTCCGTCTTGCTTCTACTCAAACAGAAACCCTTCGATTCCAAGGTTCTTCTCCATGTCTCAAATTTAGCGATAATCTCTTCTTTTGACTCAACCAATAAAACTATATCATCAGCAAAAAGCATGCACTTCAGGATTTCTTCTTTGATATGCTTAGTTAAAACATCAAGGACTAAGTTAACAGATAAGGGTTTAGAGATGATCCCTGATGTAGGCAAATCCTTATAGGGAAGTCCTTTGTCTCACTGCCTGGTGTTCTAACACTAGTTGTGACCCCCTCATACATGTCTTGTATGATTTTAATATAAGCGACACGCACTCCTTTCTTCTCCAAGGCTCTCCAGAGCACTGCTCTAGACACACAGTCGTAAGCTTTTTCCAAATCAATAAAAATCATATCCAAGTCTCTTTTATGACTTCAGTACTTTTCCATTAAGCCACTTAATAAATAGATCACTTCTATTGTCGATCTTCCTGGCATGAACCCAAATTGGTCTTCAGAAATACAAGTCTTCAATCTCAACCTATGTTCCATCACCTTCTCCTATAATTTCATGGTATGGCTCATGAGTTTAATCCCTCTATAACTAGCACAGTTCTGAATATCTTTTTTATTTTTGTAAATAGGTACTAAAGTACGTTTCCTCCAATCATCAGGCATTTTCTTAGAGCGCAAAATCTCATTGAATAACTTAGTAAACCATTAAAATAAACACTACATCTATATATAAATATGCCAGAAATCTCTTAAGAACAACACCTTTGAGACTAGAAATGCGAAAGACATGATTATCAAAACTGAGCTATTGAAGGCAAACTTAGTGTCATACAGATGTAGTGTGCAAAAAAGGAGTCTTAAATTAAGACTTTGGTTTCACTCCTATATTTGAATTTCATTTCATAAAAAATTTCAGCATTTCTAATATACAATCCAATATAATAGTAGCCATTAATAAATATGGAGAATAGCATCTCTTCTTTCCCTGAAATGCAAGAGAAAAACATGCTCACAAGTTGTTAATGAATGATCCCACTAATAGTGCAATCTGAAATGGGACGGGATTTAGTTCAAATGATAAACCTTCAAGTGAAAAGGCAAGATGGTCTTCAAAGGTAGGGTGCTCTTCCACAGTGATTTTTGGTCCATCATCGTAAAGCAAATCAATAACAGATAATCCCACATCTGATAACAAGGCTTAAGAGGTGAGAATCTTAGTAGAAGGTGTTCAGTCTGACGACAATCAATATAAACAGAAAAAAAAATCAAGTGCTATCATCATAAAACCAAAAGTACTAGAAATAATATCCATCTTTAATTGGAAAGTTATGAATTGAAATAAGAGTAAAATCCTAGGTAAAATGAAGTCCATAAAACAGGGGTGATGAATATCTGTAATCCGCTATTTACATATATTCTTTTCATTTTGGCATAGGAACTGCTACTTACATTGATCAGTCACCGCCTTTGAGTTGGTTGATGTAGAAGGTATCCCACTGGGAGCACTATTCTGATGATCAGGAGCGCTTACTAAAACCCTAAGAAGCAATATAAATTAATGCTTCAAATGGATTGCATGCCTCTTGGGAAAAAAATCAAAATCTATTGTTGAGGTCCAATGGCCTAAAAATTTGCATATGCACCTGTCCTTCCCAGAATATGCCTGGAGTCTATAATAGTTCATTCTTCCCTTATATCAAGAAAATAAAGGGGGGATTGAAAAAAGGATCAAAATGCTATCAGCAGCAAACGTACAAATCCATATTACATTTGACATGCACGCTTAACCTCATCAAGACACCTATCTATATGCTCACTTTAGGATGCGTTGAAAGCAATAGTTTAGAGAATCAATCATGACAGCGCATATATATCCACAAAGCAATTGATTTTATGACCTATTCTGCCTATTTAACTGCATTAGCATATAAGGTAGTTGCACAATAGGAGTCACGTCAATGTAAACCATGCATTTACTCACTTCTTTTGTGATGCATCCATCTGGCAGCCTGGTGGTACTCCTGCAACAACATCCGTTTATCATACATTACATATATCAATCACCTTCAAACAAAACACTAAGTAAACAGTCTACACAATTAGGCAAATACATCAAAGCGCATACTTGCTTCTTCAATTCTAGGAGATTCTACAGGATTACCCATGCTAGTAAATACTGATGGTTGATTTTTCAAGATTTTGGCTGGCAAAACTTTGGCCTCTGCATCTGCACTCTCTGATAATTGTACAAGTAAAATAGAAAAGAAGTAAAAAAATTAAATTTTAGTAAAGTAAGATAAGAAAGAAAGAAACTGACAAGAACAGAACCTTCAAACTAAATACATCATTTTGCAAGGCTTTCTAAGCACTAACAAAAGTGTAGCTACAGGAAAAACCTTGACATTAACAATTATTTTAATTGTTCCAAACTTCAAATTGGAAAACTATTCTCTTTGTTGGAGAAAAACAGAGCAGAGAAGAGTTGGTTCAAATTTGATGCAAGGTTTTCAACAATGAGTCAATGACCCCATAGGGAGGAGCAATATGACTGTTATACAGAAAGGATATCAGCCACTTACCTTCCACACAGGGAGAATAACATTCCTGAGCATTTGTGGACAAGTTTAGCAAATTGAGAATGTCCAGAGACCGACCTTCTTTCAGGTACTGCCCACTTATACCTAACACATCAGAACTGCTCTCTGACCCCGTGATCTGCAGATTTTGTTGTTGGCGTTTCCTCTGTTCAAAATATTGCTTTTGCCTAGATGAAATACGAAGTAAACTTAAATTCCGGTATCAATTCTCCATGTCCCAGCAAAACCCTCTCCCCAGTTCATTTCACTGAATTTAAGGAGATAACTAGAAACTCAAAAGTAGTCATCACTAAGGAAATCATTCTAGAACAGCAGATTTATTCTTTTACCTTTTCTGTGTAGACCTCCTTGTCTGAAATTTCCCATTTCAGCACAAGAGATATCCATGCACCAAATAAAATATTCGGACATCAGAACAAAAGTCCAATCAGCATCAAATTTTTTGGTTCAATTGATTTGCAAATTTCAACGGTCTGTCAAAATGCATGTTAACGAACGAGCCACAGATTTATCCTTCAATTCAAAATTTGACCCAACGCAAAGTTAGTAACTAATCTTTTACATAAAATTGTATGGCGCACATAGAGTGCACACATAAACGTACATGAAAAAGAGGCGCAACAAAAGAAAGCAATAATGGTTATGTTGTAATCAACTTGAGATTAAGTCTTAAGCAAATAGTTTCCGCAGCATGATATAACATCTCACTGGACTGAAACGCATAGATATGATAGAAGCTATCAGAAAATCAAGGTTCAATGGACTTCACAAATTGTTGGGCATTCCTAGAAATACATCGTCACCAGCAAGTAGACTGCGTTACTTGCCACAACATTAATGGCTTGCCCTATGGGATATATTAGTGTTATAAAAGCAATTCGGATATTTTTCAATGCTAACCGCATCATAGTCAAGTTTCAGTTTTCTGTGATTTAACATGAAAACCAAAACCACAGTCCAACTCACAGTAGTCACTTTCCGCCTTGAACCTCCCATCCATTGCAACATCGTGCAGATTACAATCTGCAACTTCAAACCAAAAAAAAATACGGAGTCATGAAAAGTAAACTCGATAATAAACATTATTACAATATAGGAAAGAAACGTATAGACTATCGCCGCAAGTTCAGCGAGTTTGCACCATTCAGTTGTTAATTCTGATCGCAATGATGTTTGTGGCCAATATCAAAACATACGCATTGAAGTTTTCAGAATCCAAGAAGAAACTACGAATCCAAAATTTAAGCGTAAAAAGTAGCACCGAGCTAGGGGGATCAGATAATGACGATTTCATCAAAGAAAAAGAAAGCAAAGCATCGGAGCAATGTTAAGAAACAGAGATACTCGAACATGCAAATATTACATTAAAATTCAGCAGAAAACATTGCCCTGCAGAAATGCAGAGGTTTTCAACGCAAATGCCATAACGAGAAAGCGTGAAATCGGGGAGTTTTTGCAAATATGGATAGATGCTAAGAGGAATTGCCGAAGAAGGCCTGCACTCACCAGAGTCTTGGTCTTCGACGTTAGCGGAAGCTGATGGAATAAGGTGGAGCTGGATGAAATAGCCAACGCTCCTGTGAATTGCGCACACTGACTGAAGTTCCAAAGCAATTTTTTTAATTTTTTTTTGGGTGACAGTTCCAAAGCAAGTTGCACCGAAAGGGTCACGTAGTGCGGCGAGAACAGGAGAAACAAAACAGAAGAATGTCTTAAAAAAGGGAAATTTTCAATTAAGAATCACAGTAGGCAATTTATTTCAAATGGACCCAAAACATTATGAGATTTTACTGTAGGACCCCAGGGCAAAGTGAAATCAATTGCAGAAACTAATTGATAGTAATACCCTGCGAAATCTGATGGTGCTGGAAAAGAAAGAAGAAAGAGGGAAAAAGAGAAGTTGGCGCCATTTGTTCCCCTTATCCATAGAGTGATGAAAGGAGATTATCCACCACAATGAGTTGAGAAAATGTAATGGCTGATGGTCAATCTAAAGGTGCATCTGTTAGCCGTCTTTAGGAAATCACCATCAGTGTTGGTGCAAGTGATAGAAACCGTAACTCCACCTTACAGTGTTGCGTTGTGATCGTCACTGGCACTTAAGGTTTGTTTGGTTGGAGGGGAGGGGAGGGGAGCCCCTCCCCTCATTTGGTTAAAAATTTTGGAGGGGAGGGGAGGGGAACTAAAATGTCCCCTCCCCTCCCCTCCCTCCCTCCATTTTGACTCCCCTCCAAATTGGGGGTTTTTGGAGGGAGTCAAAATTTTGGACCATTATGCCCTTATAAATTTTTTAATATTCCACTTTTACCCATAAAATATATTATTACAATATTTATTTCAAATAAAAAATATATTATCCTAAGTACAAAAATAAAAAATATACATTATTATAATTAAAAATATATTATAAAAATTATTTAAAAATAAAAAATTATTTAAATAAAAAATTATAATATTATAAAATTAATTGTTTTTTATAAATATATTATTTATTAAATATATTTTAAAGCTGGAAAAAAAGATAGCCTAAAGAAAATAAAATTTCATTTTTCTTAGAGCATATAAAATTTGTTAATTTGATTATTTTAAATATATTATTATATTAATTAGAATAAAAAATTACTGTACCAATTTTTTAATACACATATTAACATGATAAGACTGAATTTTTATTAAATTATATGATTTAAATTAAGATGTAAATTAATTTATATAATATATCAATAAAAAACATAAACTAATATGTAAGGGTAAAATGGTAAATTAATTATTACTATCCCTCCCCTCCCCTCCTTTTTAATCAAACCAAACAAGGTGAGGATAAAACCTCCCCTCCCCCTCCCTACCCTCCCCTCCCCTCCCCTCCCCTCCCCTCAAACCAAACAGGCCCTTAGTGTGTGAGGTAAAATTTTATTTTCAAAATTTTTGTTTTCTTGATCTAACTTGATGAGCACAATTGGTTGTGATATGTGAATAATGTAGAAATAACTATTTAAATTTAAATGCATAGATAAGTAGGTAGTGAGTGAGGGAGAATCCGACAATGCTTTTAATTTTAGAAAGAGATTGTTATCATCTTCTTGTTTAAAGTTAATAAACATGAAGTGTTGGTAATGTTCGAAAAGTGGGTGAGAATGGGTGAACACTGATTATAATGCGCTGTTGAAGGAACTTAGGGAGGGAGAAATGAAAGAGAAACAAGAGAATGTGGTTAAATAGGTGATATGAAAGCTAAATGTGCAGAGAAATGGTAACTAGAAGTTGCAAAAATATGTCACCACTACAAAAAAAAAAAAGACATAAAAAATCGCAATTTAATGGCAGTTAAAAAGAAAAATGCTGTGGAAAACAAGGCGGTGGCATTTTTGTAAGTAAAAGGCATGACGTTTAACCTTCCACTGCGGTTATCTTAATAACCACCGTGGAAAGTTTTAAACTTAATCCTATCTCACATTTCCTTTTCCACAGTTTCACAATTTCACAGTCCAGAGCGACGTAGTCCTACCTGTCCCACCACTGAAACTTCATTTTTCAGCAAATCCTCACCATTTTCTGTAGTGTTTGGTCCTCCATTGGCGTCATTGTCGATTTTTGCTATCTTCTGCAGTCTTCTGCCATGGGTAGTCACCTCTTCTCGCGTTTTAATCGTCTCCTACTGAGTGAGTTTCTTCTTCATTCATTCTTTTTGTTTTTTTTTATGTCTTGGATATTTTGATAATAGAAATCTGTTGTATTTCAAATAGGCTGATTGGTTTCATATTTTGGAAGTCTGGTATTATTTATTTTGCACATCTTATGTGCTTGAGGTGTTGATTGGTGACATTTGGAGATAGAAAACCTCAATTACTTCCTATATACACGACATTAGAAATAGAGAAAATTACACTCAGGTCCCACAGAGTATAATTAATATCAAAAAGGTCCTTCAAAATCCCGAAATGATTCTGAAGTCCCTAGGGACCTGTATGTAATTAATTCTAATTGTGAAATTACCTACTTACCTCTGTTAATTTTATTGCAGCAATTTGTTTACAATCTCAACAGTGGTTGTTAATAACTCGAGAAGACGTGATTAACAACCTCATCAGTGCTCATGACAACTCACTCTGTGGAATGCTAGGGGCGTTGTTGAGGTTGTTAACCACCTCTTCTCGGGTTGTTAACAACCACTGTTGAGGTTGTAAATAAGTTCTAATTTTATTGCAGCAATTCGTTTACAATCTCAACAGTGGCTGTTAACAACTCAAGAAGACGTGATTGACAACCTCAGTAGTACTCATGACAACTCACTCTGTGGAATGCTAGGGGCGTTGTTGAGGTTGTTAACCACCTCTTCTCCGGTTGTTAATAGCCACTATTGAGATTGTAAATAGGTTCAAATTAACAGGGGTAACTACGTAATTTCACAATTAGAATTAATTACACACAAGTCCCTGGGGACTTGAGAATCATTTCCCAATTTTGAGGGACCTTTTTTATATTAATTGTGCTCTATGGGACCTGAATGTAATTTTCCCTTAGAAATATGTTTAAAAGTTCAAAGTTGATTAGTTCTTATGTTTGTAATTTTTTTATAATTTTTTTATATTTGATTTCAAATTTTTGTCAAATTTTTGTAATAAACTTGAGAATTTAGTAATAAATAATATGTTAAGTGTTTTGGCCAATTTTCTTTTTTTTTTATGAACTTTGATTGATGATAAAGTGTTGTTTAAAATTTCATGAAAAATGGATATCATTTGTGTTCCCATTTTGGATTCAGAAGTTTTATTCATTGAATTGGTTTGAGATTGAATTGTTACTTTTGTTTTGTTAGTTATAGTTTTTCAAATTTATCTTGTATTGTTTATTAAATTTTTGGTTTGTTGATTGATTGATTTGTCCATTGCTTAAATAATTTAGGATTAGTTATATTTAAGAAGAAATTTTGTCAAAATTTTAATAAAATAAAAAAGACATCCCTTTAATTTATAATTGAGTGTTGGTCAATTTTAATTTATTGACTAACACTTAATTATTTTATTTATTTGAATTAAACAATTAGAATTGAGATTGACAGTACAACTACGCTTTTTGACTCTGTAGAACAATGGATCGTAGTTGGATGAAAGCTAAGAGAATTAGCAAAGAATCTGAGGATGGGATTGAAGGATTTATTGAGTTTACTCAAAGAAATGTCCCTAGTAAAAAAGATGACTTGTATTGTTGTCCTTGTATCAAATGTTTAAACAATAATCGACAGAGTATTAATGAGATTAAAGAGTATCTTATTTGTGATGGGATAAGTTTAAGGTATATAAATTGAATATGGCATGATGAAATTAGAAAGACTGCACTATCTAGAAAGAAGAAGGTTATGAATGATGACTTTAGTGATAAAATTTTGGATATGTTCCGGGACATAAGGTCTGAGTCCTTTGCACAGTTCTCTCCCACATGTGGAAGATTGTGTAGTGATACAAAGACACCTTTGTACCCATGGTGTAAAAATTATTACACAAGGTTGACAACCATGTTGAAATTGATGAATTTAAGGGCAAGAAATGGTTGGACCGACACTAGTTTCACGAAATTGCTTGAGTTGTTGAGTGATATTCTTCTAAAAGGAAATTCACTTCCAAAAAGAATGTATGAGGCAAAGAAAAGTTTGTGTTCGATGAGTTTGGAATATGAGAAGATACATGTGTGTCCTAATAACTACATATTGTTCAAAAATGAGTATGAAGGGTTGAATAAGTGCCCTAAATATGGCAGTTCAAGATACAAAGTGAAGCAGGGTGTGGTGATTATGATGAAATGACCAAAGGTCCTCTTTTAAAGGTATTGTGGTATCTTCCAATAATACTACGGTTTAAGCATTTATTTACTAATACCACAAAAGCAAAGAACTTGAGATGGCATTCTGATGAGAAAATATGTTATGGAAAACTTCATCACCCTACAGATTCTCCTCAATGGAAAGCAATAGATCAAAAATTTTCTTAATTCGGTAGTGAGCCAAGAAACCTTTGGTTAGGGCTCTATACGAACAAAATTAATTCATATGGTAATCTTAATAGCACACATAATGATTGGCTGGTTCTCTTGGTAATTTACAACTTGCCTCCTTTGTTATGTATAAAAAGAAAGTATATCATGTTGTCTTTGATGATCTCGGGGTCAAAACAGTCGGGAAACGATATTGATGTGTATTTGGCACCTTTGATTGAGGACTTAAAGAAATTATGGGAAGAAGGTGTTGATGTGTTTGATGCATATAAACAAGAGACCTTCCATTTACGTGCCGTGATCTTCATCACGATAAATAACCTTAAGGGGCATAAAGCATGTCCGATATGTGAAGAAGGCACTCACTACATGCAACTCAAATATAGAAGGAAGACGGTCTACCTTGGTTACAGAAGGTTTCTTAGACGGCACTACCCTTACTGTAGGTTAAAGAAGGCATTTAACAGCTCACAAGAATATCAAATGGCTCCAATACCATTAACTGGAGAAAAAGTTTATCAATAGATGGAAGCAGTTAATCTGATCTTTGGTAAAAAGAAAAAGAAGACAGCCAATGAGAGAAATATATAGAAAAAAAATCTCTTTTTTTTATGTTTCATATTGGCAGAGTCTTGATGTGAAATATAGCTTAGATATTATGCATGTGAAGAAAAACGTGTGTGAGAGCCTTGTTGGTACACTTTTACACATAAATAAAAAGACTAAGGATGTACTCAATACAAGACGAGACTTAGTAGAAATTAGAATACGAAAACTCCTTCACCCACAAGAAAGAGACGGTAAGAGGGCTTATTTACATCCAACTGCGTACACATTATCAAATGAAGAGAAAACAAGTTTTTGTGATTTTTTGAATAGTATTAAGGTGCCACAAGGTTATTTTTCTAATTTGAGGAAGCTTGTTTCAATGCAAGATTTGAAGATAACAGGGATGAAGTCTCACGATTGTCACATGTTGATACAACAATTACTTCCAGTTGCTATTTGAGACATTATGAAAAATGATGTGAGAAGCACTATTACAAAACTTTGTATGTTTTTCAATGCTATTTGTAGCAAAGTCATTGATCTTGTTGAGTTAGATGAATTAGAAAATGAAAGTTATGTGATCCTCTCCCAATTAGAAATGCACTTTCCTCTATCATTTTTTGACATTATAGTCCATTTGATAGCTCACCTTGTGCGAAAGATAAGATTTTGTAGCCCTATATGTTTAAGGTGGATGTACCTATTTGAGATATATGAAAATCCCAAAAAAGTACTCTAAGAATCCTTATCGACATAAGGCATCAATTGTTGAGAGATATATAGTTGAGGAGGTAGTTGAGTTTTGTAACGCATATTTGGATAGGGTAAAGGTAGTTGGACTTCCTCAATCTCTACATGATCAGGGAGAAACAAGGGTTAAAATGAGGTCCATGTCTCGTGAAGTTGTAATACAAGCATATCTATATATTTTAAACAACACGAATGAAGTTCTGCCTAACTTGGATGCTCAGAAGAATATGCTGAAAAACTTGAATTCAAGAAAGAACGATATGTAACTAGCTAATGAGCATAACAAGTCATTTGCAGAGTGGTTCAAGCAAAAAGTGTTAAAGGATGGCAATCTTTCTAAGACAATATAAAGGCTAGCTGCAGGGCCTCATTTTGAGGTTGTATGTTGGGATGGATATGACATAAATGGTTATTCATTTTAACAAAAACCTAAGATGATAAGAGTACTATGCAGAATAATGGGGTGATGGTAGTAGCCGAAGCTATACATTTTGCTAGTTCAAAAGATAAAAACCCAACATTAGTGTCAATGTCCTATTATGAAGTAATAGAAGAGATATGGAAGGTTAGCAATACCAAGTTTAAAGTTCCTGTCTTCAAATGTAAGTGGGTTAATATTAATGCAGTGCATTTCTTTCGGTTGATTTTAAGAGGGTTAGATATAGAGATGAGCTATTTATTTTAGCAAGTCAAGTGAAACAAGTGTTTTATATCACCAATCTAGTAAAAATAAATTGTCTATTGTGCTCCAAGATAAGAGGCAAGCAATTGGTAGAGATAACGGTGACTCAAAGTTCAATCTCGACGAAATCCTACCTTTCACAGCTATTCAACCTAAAATAGCTAGATTATATTTGGCAAATGATGACTATGCTATTAGGAATGATCATTGTGAAGGAATTTAGGAGGATAATTATCATAAGCCCTAAATAAATTATTTGATATTTCTTATTAAATTTATTTGATATTTATCATTTATTATCTTTCCATTATTTATTCATAATGTGATATTTTTTGTTAAATTTACTTCATATTTTTTATTCTTATATTTGTTAGTTGTTCTTTGAACAAGAAATGGACGAATCCAGTCAACAGGGTTTTGACGACAATAGCTCCTTTACTAGCAAGAAAAAGGATAAAGGGCTGACCTATATAAAAAAGTTGGCTTTGCGTGATGAGACCACACAACCCACAGGGATAATAGTAGATTTTGATGATGATTTGAATGGAATAGGTCTTGAAGGGACTTAGTTTAATAGTTATGGGGGTTATCTAGCATACAGTAAGATTGGGAT